TTTACAAAACCATTGGATGAAAAACAATTTTTACATATTTGTCGGGAAACGGGAATGCTTGAATTAAAGTGAAATTTAAGGTTCTTATTATCACATTATATCATAAAAATAAACTGATCACGTCCAAATGCTCAAAACACGCGTCTAGAAGTCGAAACAAAACTTGAAGCTGAGACACGGTACCCTTGACGGTACCCAGGTCCCGTCCTAAAATAGGTGCTGCCAGAGAAGAATGGGTTTTTAAAGCTGCACGGTAGCTGGACACGGTATGGCGTACCGTATACACGGTACCAAGGTACCGTTAACACGGTACCTAGGTACCGACCGTCGCGACAAGTCAAACTGTTTTAAAAACCTTAGACCAGCACCATTTCGATCAGTTGCTGCGACCTTTCTCTCCCGGCGTCTCCTCCCGTCTCTCTACCTTCCTTCAATCCAAGGTATTTCATTCCAATTTCATCATTTTCATCATCAATTAGATTCAATTCTTTGTGTATTATCTTCAATCCATCCATTTGGTATCAATTCTTACTCTTTTCGCCCAAAAAGTCATTATCTTCTCAATTTTCTCCCAAAATGAGTGAAATTGTTTCCAATGATCAAGTTGATGCTTAAGTCGGGTTCAAGGCTTACGCCGACCCACATATCATCGAGGGAAGAACCCTTAAACAAGATGACATCCCGGTTCCCGTTCTTGAACTTATTCAAGAACAAGGTTGGAGTTTCTTTCTTCAACTCCAAGCCCCCGTTTACCCGGAACTTGTTCATCAATTCTATTCTTCGTTGAAATATCATCCACAAGACCCTTCCATTACCGCAATTGTAGCCGGAAAAACATTCGGATTCAACACCCAAAATCTTTCCGTATGGTTTCACCTAGGGCGCCAAGGAGTCTTCAGCTATTGCAAAAAGGGGTGGATTGCCGACTAACGAGATTTTAACTCCGATTCTTGCCTCCGAGTACTAAATAACATTGCCCTTGACCATGTCTTTGAGGACCCACACTACTTTCTTCGTAGGACAAATGTCCAAGACTTACCTGCAAATAGATTCATTCTGTAACGCCCCGAAACATACCCTAGAATTATTATTAAATAATTATTCGATTAAACAAATTTGTTTTGATTATTATTGTGCTTTGGGCCGATATGAAATATTTTTAATATCCAATATCAAAATCTGAATAAGTCTAATCGAAATAAATCCAATATGTGGACTATTTGTGTGGTCTTGATTGGGAACCTGAGTACAGACCCAAATCAAGAATAAATAAATTAATTAATTATGATGTGAACTTTGTAATGATTTATTGAAATAAATCATGAGAATAATTGATATGAATTAAATGAGAGAACCTTTTATGAGAAAGGTCAATTAAACCAATTTTGACTCTGTTAAAGTCAAACACCCAAAAATATGATGTCGGAAAAAGTATTACAAATAATTATGAAAAGTATATCGTTGGATAGAGCTCGACTGTCTGATCGCAACGGTGCAAACGGATTTCAATTTGGAGAAAGTTGGACCAAAAAGTGTACCCCGATTGGAACCAAAATAGGTCCCAATCAAGGAACTGTTTAGACGGCGCCTCCTTCCCCACTACGCCGATCGCAGAGTCACCTTCTTCTTCTCTCCTTCTCATTATATAAGAAAACCCAACCTTCTCATTTCTTCACCATTCTTCTTCATTCTTCTTCCTAAATGTTCATGAAAGTGTGAGGAGTGTTGTGGTGCTGTCAATTTGGTGTGAAGTCGCTGGAGTTGGGAGAAATACTCGCCGGAAGTTTCGCCGGAAAAATTCCAAAACCTCCATTAAGCTTCGAG